TTTAATGCTGTGCCTTAATCCTTCATACTCAAAAAATGTTTACATTTGGGTCTCATGAGGTAATCTGCTGAAGACAAATGGACAGTTCTTCTCAAGATATTTTTTTTAAAATTCTCTTTAGAGGTGGAAAGGTGTAGGAACATCATCTTTTCTAAACTATTCATCAGTGAATTCCAGATTAAATTATAGTCATTGATGTCTCTGATTTTGGCCAGGGATTTGGAATTTAAAAGTTAAACAGAGAGAGTGATTTCTTACATTTCAGGTGAAATCTTTTCACTTACATAATTATCACTTTTGCTAGTGGTGAAATTCTTACAGTTCATCTGGTAAGGTCTGCAGCTGCTTGTTAACCAAGAAAAAGGTGTTACAAATGGGTAGCTCCAGAAATGCCATCAGCTTTAGTGTAGTTTGTATTTTGTAATTTACCTCACTCAAATAATACTTTCTAAAAATTATTGAATAGACTAGAACCCTAGTCTGGATCCCCTGAGGAGTTGCATTACTTTTAACTATTACTAAGTAACATGGCACTGGGGAGTGGACTGCCAAAAATACCCTGGGTCCCACAGAACTGCACTGTAGGTTTTCCTTCCTTCCATGGTCGTTACCTGCTTCTTGGCAACATCACTCATTAGCCTGACATTGACTGTAAAGTCTCTGCCAATCTTGCTTCACATTAGCAGGCCAAAGGATACTGATGGTGGCTGTGACTGAAAAGGTTATCAAGCATTTGCTGTTGTTCAGTATTGTTCATATCTTCTTCAAAGCAGCTGATTGTTTAGCTAATTGTGCCTTAAAGCACAGACTGATATAATCACATGCCACTGGTTTACCATCAGGATACCTTCAGCCCTTTGCTTTGTCTAGAATATACTTTCAGCAGCAAATTGGAAATACTCTAGTATTCTAGGTCACCTAAAGAGTGATTCAGACACTAAATATGTAAATCTCATAACTGAGAAATGCGCTAACTCGATGCAATGTATTTAAAAGATGCTGCTTAAACTATCACCAGCACTTACTCAGCAGGATGTGGAAACTTCTATTCATTATTTGGGTTCCCCAGTCTTCACACTATGAAGTTTCAGAGCTAGTTTAAGTGTTTTTTTCTAATTATCTGTGCAGCAAAGTTCCTGTTCTAGTCACCTAATACAAAGAAAGAGCCAACGAAATGCACAATTGGCAGTAGGCAGCTCTGTCAATTTTTGCTCAGGAATAGGCCCTCCAGCCTCTACAATGGAAGTGTCCTCAATGAAAGATGTGGAGCAAGTGCCTTCCCTAACAGCACTAGGATGCGGACCTCTAGGAATTGCAAATAGACCATGACTTAAAGGCAGGGTGAGGAAAGGAAAACAGGGCACCAGAAATTAGAATGATGTGAACAAGGGAGTTTCTCTTTGGTGACCCAACCAAAAAATTAAACCAAAAAAACTCTTTTCGATCAGCACAAAGCACTTGTCCAACTCAAAATGAAACAGCTTGTTTTGCTTTTAAATCTATTTTCAACCTTTGAAAGAAGGTGTACATGGAATTCTAAACCAAAACACTGTTTTGAAAAGTGAAACAAATATTTTATTTAGAAAATGTCATTATGAAACATTTAATCATGACTTTCCTTTTTTGAGCTGTGACTATTGACTGAATTGAAAACCAGCTTGCCTGACTGAAAGGACATCTTTATTTTCTTTTGGTCAATAACTGTCCCAGACATTTCCCCTGATTGTAAGGGAAAATTCCTCTGACTTCTACTTCCTTTGTCTGTTCAAAACGGACTGTCACCCACCATCCTTCACACAGCCACAAGTCACATGTGCTCTGCAAGAAAGCCTATGAAGGAAATTCTGCAAATTTTGCTGTGTGGCATTTCCAGGGCATGCAGCTCATGAGGTTTCCATGGTAGAGTCTTCCAGCTGGTGGTGTTCAGGCTTGGAGAAGTTAATAAATATTTGACTTAGTTTTTACGTTTTTATCATCATGGGAAGCTCGAGAGATTGATTTCACATGTTAGGATAGGGCAGCTCAACAAGAACAATGTGGAAGAGGCCTGAAGGAAATAGAAGAAGGAAATTAGTTATTTATCCCTTTGTGAAGAGATTATGTCAAGGGGGAACAGCATGTGTGTGTTTCATGGTCTAGTCTTCATTTATAATAATTTATAATCAAGGAAGGCTTTTGATACTGCCTCTCACACTAGTCTCCTGGACAGGATGTCCAGCATACAGCTGGACAACCGTACCATATGATGGGTGAGCAACTGGCTCACAGGTCAATCACAAAGAGTTACAGTGAATGAGTTAAGATCAGGCTGGTGACCAGTCACTAGTGGGGTCCCACAGGGCTCCATCCTAGGCCCAGTCCTCTTCAACACCTTCATCAATGACTTGGATGCAAGACATTAAGGAATTCTAAGCAAGTTTGCTGATGATACAAAACCGGGAGGAGCTGTCGACTCCCTCAAGGGCAGGCAGGCCTTGCAGAGAGACCTCAACAAGTTAGAAAGCTGAGCAGTCACCAATCACATGAAGTCTAATGAAGGTAAGTGCTGGATTCTGAACCTGGGACATGGTAACCCTAGTGGTAAGTACATACTAGGGAACGAGTGGCTGGAGAGCAGTGTGGTGGAGAGGGACCTGGGGATCTTGGCTGATGGCAAACTATGAGCCAGCAGTCTACCCTGGCAGCCAGGAGGGCCACCTGTGTCCTGGGGTGCGTCAAGCACAGCATTGCCAGCTGGTGAAGGGAGGTGATTGTCCCACTCTGCTCTGGTGCAGCCTCACCTTGAGTACTGCGTGCAGGTTCGGGCACCACAATATAAGAAGGACATCAAGCTATTGGAGTGTAGCTTGGAGATAGACTGTGTCTGTCCAAGGTCAGTGAGATGAATTCTCCATTTGGTGCTTAGCCTCACTCCCTTTGCTCTCAGCTGTCACAGTTTTGAGTGATAAGAGAAAGGACACCAGCCAACAGCTCTTGACAACATGATTGCTTATGCCACAAGAAGGAAAATAAATAAATACCCTTCTGAATATAGTAAAAGGTTAAACCCCAACACTCCAATGTGGTGCTAAAGCTTGGTTGGCTGTCACTGTTGAGACACTTCTGCCTTGATTGTGAACAGGCGGGTAATTCATATGCGGAGAGATGCAAATGAGAGTGTGCAGCAAAGTAAACCATGTTGATTGCATCTAGTTTGACAGGTAACAGGCATCCATCACCCAGATGGATTGTATGCCCCTCCAGTTCCTACAGGGAAGTTTTGCCATTTCAGTTCACATAAACCTTGTTCAAAAAGGTATGGATGGACACTTTTATCTCAAAATTGCTCAGGTTCAGGGGCAACATGGAGTAATTTAATCCCACTTCAGTGACATCTAACTCCAACAGCTGATTTAAAACATGTTGAGACTATTTTTGGACTAACTTTGACTTCTCTTTGAATTGAAATGATTAAGCCACCAAGGTAGATTTCCTTTCAACCGTTTTCCCATATTACAGTATCAATGTATGGGGTGTCTTCTAGGTATCCTTTTAGTAAGTATTTTTGAGTATGAATGTCCCTGATATGCTGTGTTTACAGAAGTTCACCCCCATCATCTTCACAGCTACCCCAAGTCCTTTATTTTAGGACACTTACAGTGTTTTGCTTTTTCAGATGTGGACAGGATGGCTGTTGCCCTAATGATTAAATGGTAAAGTCCTGCTCAAGAAGTTTTCACCAGTTGCTGACAATCTGCTATGACATAGCTCCTCTGGCTTGCTCACTGTTTGGATGCTTTTCACCTCTTAAACCTTGGTCCAGCCACCAATGTCCCTGGCTGCACCAGAGCAACTCCTGTCTTTTCGCAGGGACATTGCTGAAGGACAAGTGATAATGATGGATTAAACTGCTCTTCAGTGACTTTTTTGGGTTTGGTTTATTTTCTCTCTGGGAGCTTGTATTGAGAGTAGGCACGAAGCACTTCTCTTCTGAAGTGCTCTCAAATCCCCAGTGCTGCAGAGCACTGTCTGTGCTCAGCATGTCTATGGGGCAGTGAGAACATGGTGCTCTGAGTTTTCAATAGCAACTCCGGTTTCTCACCACCTCATCTAACCCAGGGGGGGTGGTTTGGGACTTTTCACCAGCCGCTGTTCAAGATGGGATCTTTTCTATGGGTGTACTGAGGAAGAATCAATGAAGCAAACCCACTATTCTCAGGAGTGATGCTATCTTCACCACCACTCCCCAATGAGAAAGGATAGTGCAGAAGCCCCCTGCTAAGCCCTGGCCTGTCATAAGTTGAAATTTCAGCCTTATGGTGAAGGAGCATGTTCCCAGACCAAACCTGCATCCTTTCAGGATACAATAATGCAGCCCCCTGGCCCAGCAGCCCCACAGGCACAATATGTGTCATCTCCCCTGAATTCAAGCAAAAAGTCTGTAATGCAATATTTGAGAACCAAGATATTTATTATAATAAATTAAAAGTAAGCATTTATAAAACAATAAATCTGCATATAAATATCACACTGCAGTTTTAAATTCATAGTTCATTTAAAAGCCTCGAGTACAGCTTCATAAATACATTTCCTTGCATATTTTTCAATAATCCGTATAAATAAAATACCATATAATTATTACCTTAAAATAAGTTACCATTAAATACCAATGACAAAAATAATTCCTGAATTTGTCTGAAATACCAACTTTTCAGGTGAAAGTCAGAAGGGGGCAACATATTCAAGAGAGATTTCCCAGTAAAAGGCTCAAAACATCCTGGCTAAGTATCACTGCCTAACTTGACCAAAGTTGATTCACAGGTGTCAAATCTTAGCATATACAAAACAGAAACCTGTCTGTGCCCTCACAGTTTGCTATTTTGGGCACAAATTAAAAATATACTGCATTTATAGGGGACGGGGGAGAGGGGGAGGGAGTTGTAGTTCTAGAATAGTTAATCAATCTGAGTAATAGCAAGAGGTTTTCGGAGACGTCTTCTCAAGCCTGATCAGAAATTCTCTCAGTTTTTCTTCTTGTTCCCTCCCTTCTTTGGGGCATCTGTGCAGGCATTTTCTAGGTATTCAAACAGTAAATCCAGTTCTCCAATGGCTTTAGTCTTCCCGTTCTCTCCCAACTGAAAAAGAGCAGAATGCAAGTTTCAAGATATTTCTCAGAAAATTGAAATTAGGCTTGTCACAGAAACAGAACTAAGAACTTATTCTCTCAAGTAGAGTCACACCATAAGTTATAAACTGGCTCATTCAAACCCAGAGTAGCATATACAATTACCTGCAACCTGACTTCTGAAGGACAATTTTAAATTACCAAGACACATGCAGAGAGTTAACAGGATGAGTGAAGGAGGTCTGGAAGTGTAAATATCACTAACCCCCTCTTAATGCCCCTGCAGGCTTCACATCCTAAATAATCTCCAGAGTTTGTTCCATAATTAGGTCAGCCTTAATCCAACTAAATGAGTTTGAAACTGTTCTCTAGAAGTGTTAGGAAAAAAATGTACCTGTTCCATTTTGGTCTTCATTTCTTCAAGGTTCTTTTCAATGTGCTCTTTCTGCCCTGAGGATTCCTAAAAAAAAACCAAACCAACAAAACAAACATTCAGACATAACATTGGCAGCTGCATACAACAATGTGGCTTTTTTCTTTTCTTTTCTTTTCTTATTCACACCTTTTTTTATAAACATTGAATCTGGTATCTTTGATCTGAGGTTTCCTTTCACATCACTGCTTTTTGCCGCTGTTCATAGTGCTCTGAGATTCAGGAGCAGCTGCCAGAGCCACGGCTCAGACAAAGGAAAGAAACACAACTCTACTTACACATCTCCTCAGCTCCTCAGAGGTCAGGAATGCCAAGAACTCTGTTCCCTCCTTAGCCAGTGGGTACTTCTCCTTGGCCTCAGTGAGCAGGACATCCTCCACTACAATCTCCACAACCCTCTTCATCATGTAGCAGCGGTTGTTTTCCTATATGTGCAAGTGAGAGTTCATGTTAAATCATGGCAAGAGGTAGATAAGGGCTGCAGAAGAGCACAGAGAGCAGCCTCCTGGTGTAAGGCCTACCTTAATGTTAACAAAGAGCTGCTGTCCAATGAGCCTGTTGTCCGTGTCCTTGTCCAAGACCCTGCCCTGAGAGGAAAAAAAGGAAATGTCAGGTGGGAGTGGGAGCCCTACCTAAAAATTAATTATAAACCCTAAGGTTTTCATCAACAATAGTGCAAGTTAAACAAGGGAATGGACACCATACACAGCCTGGTACAGCTAGATAAGCTTGGACATTGTGTCTGTTTCTCCCATTAGCTTGGTGATATTCAAAGTCAGTAACACTGGAAAATAAATAAGCAGAAGTCTGAATTCCTGTTCCCCTCTTAAGAGTCAGATGTTGCAGTGGTTATGATGACTAACCAGATGTCACAGGTGGCTGAGCTGATGTTGGCCCACAGCACTGCTGGCAGGTGCTGCAGCACTCAGTGGTGCATCCCAGGGGGACCCACCCTGGTAAGAGCAGCCAAGAAACCTGCCCAAGCAGAGCCTGGTAAGGTGCCTGAGGAGCTACCTGGCCATGGCTGGAGTCTCAGACAGGTCCAGCTCCAAATGAACTGAGCAAACAGAAACATTTAAGCTCATGTTTCATGATTGTCCCAGTCTAGCAGAAGCTGTTTCCCTTGGGGAGCCAGAGGAGAAGAAGCAGCAGCTTCCCAAGGTACACAACCAGAGGGTAACAGACCCACATCACATGCCCAGACTCTGCCTTACTGCAAATACACATTTTTCTGGAGAAGGTAATGAGAAACAGACAAATGCTGAAGGTGAGAAGCCAGGGCAGCAGCAGAGGAGGAGGTCTTCAGATCCTGCCACGATGGACACATAGGTTACTGTACCATTTTAGCCAAAGTGTAGGTGCGATTCCTGATGTAGGGTGGCTGGAAGAGGGTCTTCTTGAGCCTGCAGGCATGATGGGTGGTAGAAGCCACCCCTACCCCTTGTGGAGGTAGAGGGCTGGTGAGAAAAAGAGGGAGGCAGCAACAGCAGCAGAAGACAACCCATCCTGAGAAGCTCTTGGTCAAGGTTTGCAGGGAGGCCATGGCTCACAATTCAAAGTCGTCTGTCCCAGCAGGTTGCAGCTTCAGCGCTGATGAGAGAGTAGTGTTAGCACCAGGGAGAGTGGGCAAGGCAAAGGGAGAGAGGCAGAAAGGCTGCAAGCCTTACCTTTGCTGTGATTCTTGGTGTGCTCTGCAGGAGGTGAGGTGCACCTTATATAGGGCCACCAACATCTCTCTCAGCCTTTTTTTTTTTCCAGCCAGCGGTGATGAATTAAAAATTACCTCAGCATTACTTTCCAGTATCCTCTTCTGAGAAGTACCTAACCACTTCAAAACCCACAAATACAACTTTGAGGCCACTGTAATCTTTAGTTTCTTATAAAATAAACCAAAGTTTTAATGCAGGGCAAAGTAGGGGCTTTTACTGGGTCAGGAATCCTAAATTCTTTTTGCATAAAAGTGCTTGAGAAGCTTGTGGGTTTGTGCCTTCTGTCCAGATTGTGACACACTAATTGGATTGGCAATTTATGGCAGATAATATTATTTCTATAATATTTTTTTATATATCTTTTGTGGTAAAAGACTGGTGCACCACTGGTGCTGACTGGTGTACACAAATGGTCGGAGACCATACCAGACCCAAAGCCCTGACGACCTATGGTTTCCACCCTGCAAATACCCTTTCCCACAAAGTGGCTCACTGGAGTCACCAGCCATCTGCCCATCACTGTGCAATCCTGTCTGACAGATCAGATCAAAACTATATTAATCACACCCCTCACCTCCAAATGCCCATTTTCTAAAAAAATTACCTGCATTACAGTCTATACCTGGGTGTAATGACCACAGTTGGTGTCATGCATTTACTTATCCAGGTGATTTCCATGTTCCTGATAGTGTTCTGCTAATGTAAAAGCAGTGTTGCACCTTCAGCCTGAAATATTATGCAGGTTGCTAAAGGGAAACTGTGCTCTCTTCAGAGAGTAATTTGCAACCCAGCTGAGATGGTAATGCATGAGGATGTAAAACTGTTAAAAATGCAAATTTCTTGTTGTCTAATGCCCACATGGCACACAGTGACAAATACAAGAAATCTGACCTGGAAAACTAAGGCTCCAGCTCTGCTTCTGAAAGTGAACAGGATTCCAGGGGCTGGGATTCACAGATGAAGGTCTTGGGGCAAGAGCCAGAATCAGCTTTACCTTGTAGGCTTAGTTGCCTGACTCCTTTCCTTAATCTGAAAGAAGAAGTGAGAAGCTCCCTGTATCCAGGTTTATACTTTAGCCTCCCTTGATGCATCCACACCAGAAATTCTTCTCTCCATGCCTCAGTCCTTTCTCAGTTTTCCTCAGATACCCACCACATCAGCTCTGCACAGGTCTCTGCCTCTCATCCCTGCCCCTCTCACCCTGGAGACATAAGACCATGTCCCTTTCCGTGACCCTCTTCTCATGGTATACCCCCCATTCCCATGCCCAGCTTCCAACAGCATCCTAGCTGCAGCAGGAGGCAGAAAGCAAGCCTGGACCCCAGATGTCAACACCTAGCTCATACACCATATGTAGCACAAAGCTATTCAAGAACATGTTTATAAACTTTTTTCCATAAATTTTTCATTTGTCAGGCTAATAGGCCCAGTGGGGGAGCCGTTGATGAGAAGATGGGAGGCTGAGTTACACTTAACCAAAAGACAGACATTAAAGACTAAACTGGGAGAAACCCAGAGAGACTGTTTTGAAGGATTGGCTTCCCCTGAACTGCAGTCCCACCAGCTCCTTGCCGGGTGTTAAATACAGTCTGATAACCACAGTCTGCTTCTAGCTGAGCTTTCTTGCACTTCTCCACCAGCTCATGCAGCAGAAGTCCTGACCCCAAAACAAAAGCTGTGAATGGATGTTTGGACCCTCCCTGAGGAGGCATCACAGCCCTACTCCTGGTCCAGGCCCCCTGTCTTCCCATCTTTCTGGATCTCACCTCTCCATCCCTGTGGTCACTTACTCTTTTTAGACATGGATCCAGCTTGCTTGACATTTTCTTGTGGCTCTGTTGTGGTTCCTTGTCTCTCTTCTGCCTTGCTTACCATTAAAGTCATGGCTTGGGCCCAACAAAACTAAAAAGGTGCAGCCCCATGGCACCCCACTCAACTCTCCCCCCCCCACACACACATACACACTCTGGGATGAGGAGGACAAAGCTCCTGGGTCAAGACAAAGGACAAGGAGGGTTCTTCACCAATGAAGGTCCCGGGCAAAACAGACTCAACTTGGGGAAAAAAATAATATTTTAATTTCACACTAATCAAACACACACAGGACACAGACAACACACAGAGCAGGGCTTGCATATGTTACCCCACCCCTCCCTTCTTCCCAGGCCCAAATCCCTTTGTTCCCGGTTTCTCTCCCTCCTTCCCCCCAGCGGTACAGGGGGACAGGGGATGGGGTTTAGAGTCAGTTCTCAGGCTGGTGGTTCCTGCTGCTCCTTCCTCCTCAGGAAAAAAGATTCCTTAGAGTCCTTCCCTTCTTCCCCACTGGGTCACTCCCATGGCAGAGAGTCCTCCACAAACCTCTCCTTCATGAGTCCTTCCCATGAGGTCCGGAGCTGCTCCAGCCTGGGCTTCCCACAGAGTCAGGGGCTGCTTTGGGAACAAACTCCCCTGGCACCGGGGTCTTCCAAAGCTGCACAATCAGACTCCACTGGCAGCAAATCCTCTGGCCACAAAACCCAAGTCCAGTGGCCAAGTCCACCCCTCCTGGTGCCTTCAGGGAATGTTCCACCACGTTCCTCCATGAGTGCAGAGGGACAGCTGCCATCTCGCTATGGGTTGCAGGGAAACTTCTGTTGGGCACCTTCTTCCTCTTCTTCCTCACCAACCACCAGCACTGCTCTCCTCCTCCAGCACAGCTCTTCTCCCCACAGGTGCCTCTCTGCTCAGGTGTTATAGCTATTCTTTCATATGTTAATCACTGAGGTGCATCTATTGTCCCTCCAGTGGCTCCTTGGCTGGGTTTGGAGCAGGGGGAGCTTCTTAGCTTCTTATTGGAGCCCCTCCTGTGGCCCTTTCCCCGCTACCAAAAAAACACCAAAATAAACCAGAACAGGCTCCAATCCCATGAGAAGGCTTCAAGACCTGGGTAAGCAGGTGCTGTGCCACGAGCATCTGTTCAAACAGCTGTGAAGAGTCCACCTCATCCCAAGTTCCACACAGCCTCCTGCTAGATATTTAAACAACATAAGGCAGAAGAATGAGGAATTAGATCCTGAATCTTTGCCTTCTTTAATGCAGAGATCACAGGATCTCCTCTCTCTGCTTCTCTAGTATTAGGAACCATACATTGGGACATATCTATTTTTATAGAAAATATTAAGTTAGACTTTAAGGAAGTATTTCCCCCATCTGTGTTTTAGCCACCTTTGTCAGTCACATTGTTTTTTGGCTGTGCCATAATGTCCTCCTGCAGACACCTTAAAAAAGCTTGATTTCACTTGTTTAGTTTGTCTCCTGCCTCTGATATGACAATGAAATGCTGAAATGCCCATTAGAAGTTTGTTAATTCATATTTCACAAATTCCTTTTTTATGACATTCCTAAAGCCTTCACACTATTTAACCTTTTTTTTTTTTTTTTTTCCAGCTGTGAATTGTCATAACCTATCTTCCATCCCTCTGGCGTGCTGCTAGGCTGCTCTGAACTGTAGAGCTGGCAGAAAAGATCAGTGGAAGGAAAGCAAAGTGGGAAAAAAGCATTTTAAGAACCTGTCTTAAAAGACCAGCCTTTCTCATCAACTCTTTCCTATGTTAACATTGTCAAGTTTCCTAGCAATTTGTATGGGAACGGGTAATTCCTCTCTAAGCCTGAATTGCAGATTTCCTATGATACAGGATACTCTCAAGTTTTTCTTTATAAAACAATGTATTCTTGGGGGGGGAAAAAAAAAACCAGCCAACAAAAAAAACAAGCCCAAAATAACAAAAAAACTGCTTCTCCAAACTTGGGGGGTTAGGGGGAGGGGAGTTGGAAGCAGGAGAGAAGGAGCAAAAGAAATTATAATTTTTCATGTACGGCTTTTTCTAGATTTAATACTATTTTTAATATTTGAGGCAAATAACACTGTTTAAAACACAAAATTCTTACATGAATACATACCCGCTATGCTTTTAACTAAAAACTACCAAAGATGTCTGAACTTCTATGAAGTACCTTCTGCATTGTTTTTTAAGTATAATTAATTTTTTTAAAAAATCTGAAATTATTCACAGGTTTTATTCCCTCCCCAGTGCTGTCCCAAGAGCTAACTGCTGTCCCCATCCTACCACTGACCTCAGCAATAAACTTCTAAAGTGTCATTACATGAAGTTTCCCTAATTCATTAAGAAACCATAGCGGTTGAATATTCTCGACAATGACTTCTTGACCCATATTGAAGACAGGATTTCTTGAGGAGGACTGGAACTCTGCATGCATCATGTCTGCCTCAAAAGCCACAGACACTTCCTTCTTACTTTGAATGAGGCCACAGGTGAATAACCAATACTGTACTTTGACATTCATCTGTTGGTACCATCACTACCACGCTGGCATGTAGGAATTAATACATTTTCAGTCAGCTAGAATTATAATGCATTATAGGATGATCTTCAGGATCGGACACTGGGCTTGGAACATTGTCACAAGTAGGCATGTGGAAGAATGGGCCTGTCTATCATCCTCTTGGGTCTTTTACCTGGCAACGAAATTCTCCCTCCTTAAACATCGGTACAAATGGACCATAGGTCACATAGTGCCTAAAACTGAAAAGGCAATCTATCCGGAGGCATCCTCAACTTCCAGGTCATACTCATGACCTTCACTTTGTTATAGCACCTTTGTGATCTAGTTCGTTGTGTTTTCTCTTGCTTCTTCTCTGCTTTTGCCTAGACTTTCAAGCTTGAAAAGATTAAAGCAGAATTAGAGCACGTTTCAGCTCAAGCTCCAGTAGAGCCTTATTGTGGTCGGCCCTCTGCCCAGCAATGGAAACATCAGCAATGGAAGTTGATTCTTC